AGATGGAGTTGGGTATCCATTCTTGAATTACAAGTCATTTTGATGAAGAACACATAATACAACCTCCATGCTATGTTGCATAATCTTACTTTGTATGCCTTCTAACTTGAAAATACCACCATAATTAATTTTTTACACAAACTTTTGAACTATGATCCAAGTGGTTAAGGCATTATCCAATCCATTTTGACATTTATGGCACAAAGGCACCATTGCCATTTACATAAAGCATGCTTTTGCAAAATATCAATGCATTGAGCTTTGTAATAGTTGTATCTGATCACAAGCAAGCTCAAAATCATAGGGAAAACCCTCTGTATCCAACAACTTCAGAACATGCTTATACTTGAAGCATTGAAACCATGGAAATTTATCAAACTTGGTTGTTTTATATCAACCAAACCAGAATTCTTCAACTTGACAATATGATCAGCCTTGCCCTCAACCCCTTCCCTATAAATAGAGGAAGTGTTTGCAAGTGATAAAAAAAGAGAGAAGGAATAAGCACTCCAAATCCCTTATATTCACAAAAAACCAGAATTGTTCACAAAAACCTCTGTCTTTGAGCTTTGAAGCCCAAATCTTCAAATCCCTCAAAACTTGTAATTTTTATCAATCAAACCATCCAAATACTTCACATACATCTTATAGAAGTTGTCTAAATACTTGAACAACTTCTGTAACATCATTATCACCATCTTCCAAACTCAAAAACATTGTCTTGCAAGTTGACTTGGTTGGAGAGATTCAAACATTTTCAGCACAAAGTAAGTATTGGAACAACGTCAGGGAAGTTTAAGGAAGCTTGATCAATCATCACATTGCATCTGGAAACATCCATACACATATTGAGTTTTCACTTCAAGAGGTAAGTTTTCTCAAACTTTTTTATCATTGTCCATACATCATTTACTTTCGATTTCAAAAGAATAAAACAAGACAAATCAAGGCGGAAAAGTGCACATACACAAAACTACAGAAAAAAAATGCTTCAAGGGGTTTGACACGGGAGGCCGTGTCAGGGAGGAAGATGATAAATAGGGCAAGACAGAACACAACACGGGTACCCGTGTCACACACCACAGTCCGTGTCAATTCACCTGGAACTGGAAAACATGCAGGAGCAATAGGCAGATTACGACACGGCCCGTGTCAGCCCAGACACCAGAATTCTTGATTTTTGAGATCTTGTTATGATTTTAAACCATTAAGGATACATTGGACATTTTGCATTGCTAGGAGATGATCTTACCCTATAAAACTCTTTTTAAACGAAATATCAAGAATATTTTCCTAAAAAATTAATTTAATTTAGACCTAGATTTTTCTTCAATCAAATTAATTTTCCTTTAAAATTATTTATAAAACTTTTTCCATCAAAATTCAAACAAAAAAACAATTTTTTTCCAACTTCTTTTCTCTATATTTCTTGCATATTTTATTATTTTGTACATTATAATGTAATTGTCAAAGTCTTTTAATAGTTAGGATTTATTTTCATTTGTCATCCCCATTTGTAATTTGTAATCCTCATGCCCTAAAGTATTGTAATAGCGTAGGACTTTTTATTTCCACAATTTATCGTTTTCCATATTATTGCTAGTAATTAGGGTTTGTATGGCAAGACATAAAATCAACAAGTAGACAATCCAAATTCAAAACAAAAATGCATGAAAACAATACACCTTGCACACTTGCACGTCTAAGGTTAACCCACACTTGTTGCCCCGGATGAAATAGTTGTGTCCCTCAAGCGTGGGTACTTTAACAAAGACCCTCGATTACAAGATCGTAGTCCCTCGATGACCCTTCAATGTTGCCTTCCGTAAATGATCTTAGACCCTTGTGACAAATTACTAAGGTATCCTACAATGTTGCCTTCTATGACTATACGATGATCCACGCTTGTTTCTTCACATCCAATGATATGGTTACTTGCTAACTAATGGTAAGATAACACTATCTAAAGGAGGAGGAAAAGAACTAAGACTTTTTGAGTAGGTAGAACGCTCTTAGTTGTTTGCTCACAAACAAAACCATTTCCACACTCACACTTCCATAACATCTTATCAAAAACAAACATCTTTCATGAAATATTTTCAAAAGTCAACACTTTGTATACATTCTTATAGAGACGAAAGTCATTACAAAGTTTACCTAAACAAAAACACTTTTCAAAAATACTTTCAAACAAGTCACAAGAACATTTACAAAGCATTTCAAAGTGAGTTAGCAACTAAGAGCCCGTAGATAACTACAGATGAAAAAGGTGCTAACACCTTCCCTTTTCATAACCTACCCCCCGAACTCAAAAAAATTCTCAAAAGGTTTTCCCGTTCTTTTCACCCTTTCCTTTATTTAGTAAAATAAAAATTGTTGGCGACTCTTGCTATCCGCAACAATTGCGATAAAATGAAAAACACCCAAGTCAGTTCTCCCACTGTATCACGCTATACAAAAGAATTTGGGACTTCCTTATCAAATTTGCGTTGTCAAGATGTTAGGCTCATTGAATTGAAAGTATTTTGATATTATTGAAAGTTGGAATTGATTTTTCTTTCTTTTTAAAAGGGATGGCAGGATTAAACTACATGAAAAAGATAATGCTCAAGCCTTGCTTGATTTTAGTGAGCCTCTACCTAGCAAGTTTTTACAGGTTACTTATCACTTTTCCTCTCATGATCAAATCTCATTTATTATTTATCATTTACTTTTCAAAATGAGATAGTTCTCCCATTTGCTGTTGTGAACAATACTCTTTTGTTTAGGAATTTCAAAGTGTGCTTATATACTCATAATACTATGTTGTTTTATGCATGTAGTTCATCCAGAACAAAGGCATCCTTTTAAATTTCACTTCCAATAATTATATTGTTGTCCTAAAAAAGTTGTATATTTAGGTCTGGGACATAGAGAAGAACTGTTGTATGACGTATATGTTGCTAAAGATGAAATCACTAGTTTTGCAATCATTCAACATAGCCTCTATATGTAAGTAATATCTCTAATTTGGGATAAGTTAACAAGAAAATAGTTATTGAAGACCTCCTAACGATATGAATATGTGTTGATAGGTATGTTGGACATTTTAATGGTAATATCAGTTTTGAAGCTCGATCTCGATCCATGGCATGTGAATTACTTTTATGCTTCCAATGGTGGGAGTGTCATACATCTTTTACTCTTTAGACTCACTTTTAGATGTGAAAAAAAAATATTATGTTGATATTTAATATGATCAGTACCTTATCATTTTGATTTTCATTATTATCATTGTTTAGGGAAATCTGAAGTGTTTGATGATACTATTGTGATGTATGTACTGCCTCGATCAGCAGCTGGGACTAAGAGGTGATCTTTATTATCACGACTATTGTAATGCATGTAGGGATGTCAATGGGGCGGGGCGGGGCCGGGGGGACACTTCCCCATCTTTTTCCCCGCCATCAAATTCATTCCCCGTTCCCGATCTCCGTCACGGGGGAATTTCTATCCCCATCCCCGTTCCCCGCGGATCCCCGTTCCCCGCGGGGATCCCCATAGATCCTACATTTATTCATTAATATTTTATTTTTTTAAAATGTTTATATTTTCTATAAAAATAAAAAGCACAAAGAATTCACATATTTATTATGTTATTAAAAAATACTAGTATTTGACATTTATTATTTTTTATTAAAAATACTAATGGAACACAAAATAATAATATTTTTTTTATAAATTTCTATAAAATGCTATAAAATTCAACAAAATGAACTATAATACTTTTTAAAGTAACAATATGCCTAAACAACTAAAAAAACTAGACAAATAAATAAATAAATAAATAATAGGCGGGGCGGGGTCCCCGCGGGGCGGGGGGTGTATTCCCCGTCCCCGTCCCCGAAATACTCTCGGAAGAATTTTTCTCCCCATCCCCGCCCCCACGGGGGAAAATTCTCCATCTTTGGGGCCCCGAACGAGGCGTTCCCCGCGGGGATCCCCATTAACAGGTCCAAACTGACATCCCTAAATGCATGTACTGTTTCAAGTAGAAGGTTACATTGACACCTAAATAGGTTAAAGTCTAATGAATTAAGTTTAAAGCCTGGTGAATTAAGTTCACTTAAAAAATGTAATATCAAACTTATTCATAAGTGTTTATATGATAAACTGTTTATCTAATGATATAATATTTATGCTTTAAGTGCTTAGTTAATTAGTATTTCTTGTGTTTTAAGTGACTGAATTTCTTTAATCAATTAATTTTACATATCTTTTTTCTTGTCTCAGGCAACATTCTATGTATTTGTAAGGCTCCTCGTAGTAAAATATTTGTTTTAGATTTTCATCTATATAAGTTATCTCAAAGATAATTTTTTTTTAATTCTAATAAACAATTACATAAATATATTATGAACAAATGTGTTTAAATCTTATTTTATGATTTGTTAATGTTGATATTTAAACAATATAGATATGATTGCTATTAATTACTTTTAATATTTATTAAAAATTTATTTATAATTGAGTAAAAAAACCTGTAGAATTTGAAACAAAAAAATGTATATTTTTTTCCAGATACCATTGGAACTGAAACAATATATAAAGGTATATGTAATACAAAAATCCATTGCTGATCACATAGTAAAGTGCACGGACAACATGGCCGTCAGTGATTTACAATTTGATTTTTATCGACGGCAGAATGGCATATAGTGACGGATTTTGTCCGTCGTTACAGGGTAATTTTCTTATAGTGCAATGGATACTCATATTATAATTATTCATATCTACCGAGTTTAAGAAATAATACATGAATTATAAGATGAATATTGAGCTCCAATAGTGTAGAAACATAGAAACTTTCTAGCAATCTCTTTTATGGAAAAGCTCGGAACCCTTGCAAATTACAAAAGTTTTCCTTTTATACATATAGGCTTCAACGCACATGATCGTGCCATGATAGGTTGCATCGCATCACAATTCGTTCTTAAGTCCACTTGTTAGCGTGTGATTGGATGTTGAATCATGCCACGATCTATAACCATGGTGATGCTATTTCAACAAACTTCTTCTTCATTCACTGTAGGCTTGCGTTGCACTGCGATCCTTCCAAATTGCGGGCTATTTTTGCAAGAATAGTTTTCTCAGTTTCATGCTCTTATGTGTTATTCTCGCTTTATCTCTCATTATTGTCACCTCCACAATGTTCAAACATTATGAAGTTGTCGAGTTAGAGCAATTCATGATGAACTAAGAGTTAAGGTTTTGAGCTGTAGTTCACCTAATAATCTTGGCAAAGCAGTTGTTTTTTACCAAAAAGCTTGACCATGTTGCATGAACTATATGAGAGCTTTATTACTTACTTGTATCCAGATAAGTGGACTTGCTTCCTGATTATTAGATTAGAACAAATGTTAATACGTTTTGCACGGAAAATAATCAAAAGACACAAGATATTTGGTAGGAAATGCATATCTCCTTATCAAGAAGGAAGATACCCATCTTGAATCTAAACCAAAACAAAACCTTTTGACAATCCCTTACAAATGGCCGCAGACATTGCTGTCTATGTCCGCTAAATTAATTTATAGAGCAAGCAATCCATTCAGAAAAGAACATGTGCCATGTCTGAAAAGAAATGAGTAGGCATGGTACAAGCATTGAGTTATGAGCCTTTCGTTAAGAAGGAGTGGTTGACACGCTTATCAGACTAATTGAACTTTGACAAAGGCATCTAAGACAACACCATGTGATCTCTCATCTCATGGCCCCCATCATTATAAAAATAATATCTCTAGCAAAGGTATTTCAAGAAACTCTTGGAAACTATAAATATAGTGTCCTCCTCACAACCATCACAAATCACTAAAGCAATCAAACACATACATTTTTCTTACATCTAAGAAATTCAGTTTTTTCTTCAAAGCGTTTGAAATGGGTTTCCGTTTACCTGCAGCTATTAGACGGTCATCACCTAGCAGTATTCAAACATCCTCAAGAGCATTGAATGTGCCAAAGGGGTATCTTGGAGTGTACGTCGGAGAGGAAAGGAAGCGGTTTGTTATCCCCATGTCATATTTGAACCAATCTTCATTTCAAAACTTGTTGAGTGAATCAGAGGAAGAGTTCGGATATGATCATCCAATGGGTGGCCTCACAATTCCTTGCACACAAGATGTTTTCTTGCATATTACTTCTCGCTTCAACGGGCAATAGATCCTACAATGAAGGATACTGACATGGATTAGCAGACATCTTGTACAATAGATTAGTCACAATTTTTTACTTGTAAAGATTTTTTTCCCTTTCCTACTTTTGGAAGGGGTTAGAACTGTTCATCTGAACGACAAATTCAGAAAGAGATTATTTGTTAGTTTTCTAATCATAACGACACAATATATTCAACAACTCAATGGTCTCCTCTATGCTTTTACTTATAAATTATAAAATTACAAAGCTGTTGATTCCTTGCGAATTTCTCAGACCTAATAAAACTTTAAGCCAAACTCTAATAGTATATAAGCTACCTTGAATTTAAGCTTACAAATTTCTTACATGACTTATGCTTCTATCAACTGCATCTTCATCTAGGCAGAGCAATTAAGCTGTCATAAATAAATAAAAAAGCTCCTTCAACTATTCCAACTCCCGTGGGATTCACTCATAAACTTCCATGAACCCGATCTTTTAAAGCTAGTGATGATTATAAGGAATATATTACCATTTGTACTCATTATTTTGGTCAATTTCTCTTTAACTTTTGCTACAAGGGTGGTGAAAAAGAAGTGTATAACAAGCAACTCATGAGATCATTTTTTTTTCTACTACTTTGAAAAGAGACTAACAAGACAAAAATATTTGCAGATCACATGTTTCAGTGGCCGACTGCATGACTAAACAAAGAATGTATTAATATTATAGACGTGCAATTAATTAGATTCTAAAACAGAAGCTAATCCCATCAAATAATAGAGTTCAGATTTACCACTTCTTAACCCAATTGTGGAAAGTCTCGCACTGCCAGTTCTCCAAGTCCAGCCATAATCTACAAATAGAATGGATGTAAAACATGAATTTCAAGTATCAAATAATTTAATCTCAATTGGAAATTTAAAAGTTCTCAAGAGCTAGAAACTCGTCGCAATTGGTCTCTCATTCATGACTGAAGATCTTATCTCTTACTATGTTTACTCATGGCTATGATTCTTGAGTTTGAAAAATAACATATTCTGAGTTTAATTGTTAGGCAATGTGGGTGTAAAAATTTTTACACTATCGGCAAACCACAATCATTCAAATATGTATGAAAATAGTTATAACTAAAAACAAAATATTTTCAATCATCTAACGGTTATAATTGGTTGACACTATAAAAAATCTTTATACTAACTTTGTATAAAAATTAAATCCTTATTCTTATATGCAGAAAACAAATCATTGAACAACTTTTATCAGCACAAGTTAAAGCTTTGAGGTGTAGTTGTTGTTACCAAAATGCTTGACTTTGTTGAATGAATTATATGAGAGCTGCATATTGGACCTGCATCCTGATTATTAGACTAGTACAAATGTTAATACGTTTTGCACGGAATATAGTCAAAATTCTTAAAGTATTTGGTAGGAAATGCAGATCTAATCAATTAGGTTTCCAACACACAGATGAGTGGTAGACACCTTACTTGTGAACAAAACATAGATTAGCATAGAAATTTTGAACAATAGTCATCATTAAGATTTGTATAGAATTTTTTTTCCTTTTCCTATCCTTGGAACGGGTTAGAATTGTCCGTCTGAATGAAAAATTCAGAAAGAGATTATTTGTTATTATTTATTCCTAATCATAATGACACAAGATATTCAAAAACTCAACGGGCTCCTTTCTGCTTCAAATTTATCTTGGTTTATTATAATGATGACATAAGTATACTACACGCTGTAAGCAAAATCTAGCTTGAATATCTCTTTAAATTCATCTAAACTAATAAAACATTCACCCAAACTCTAATAGTTGATAAGTTATGGTGTATCTAAGCTCCCAACTTGTTTACGTGTCTACATTTAGGCAGAGCAATATTTTATGCTATGATAAATAAGAAAGCTCCTCCAACTATTCCAACTTCCATGAGATCCAATCATCAGTTTGTTTAGCACAATAGCATGTGATAGAACATTGGAAAATAAGAAAGCTCAAGACACGTAAATAAGTTGGGAGCTTAAGAAAGCTACTTTGAGTTGGAAAAACGTTGGGCCTTATCCTACTAGCGAATTATTCTTAACAACAGAGTTTATTAAATTAAGGTTCTACTAGCTAATTATTCTTAGATGCAGAAAATAAATCATTGAGCAGCCCTTTATCAGCACAAGTTAAAGTTTTGAGCTATAGTCCGCCTTAAAATTTTGGCAGAGCAGTTGCTGCGGAACGTATTCAAAAGACTGCAAATGTATAGGACTGTTGACTTGAAACTCAATATTCAGAATAGCATATTTTTTGTTATTTGTAGTTGTTTGTGGGTCCAAACATATACCTATCTCTTTTGAACTGTTGTTCAATTGCTATCTATCTTCTGTTCTGGTCAGCATGACTAATGACCAAGCCCTTGATATGTGTTCCTTGTAGCCTCCTAATATTAATATTTTGGAGCCAACTAACCATTATTATACACGCTAAGAAGAGAATTATTGGTGGCTGGCTATATATCGGTATTGAACCGCGTTATGGATAAGAAGAGAACATGTGACATGTCTACAAAAGTACTAGTAGCAATTTGAGTTCCAAGTCTTTCATTGAGAAGGTGGGGTATATATGCACTCTCTTATTGAACTTGATGGAGAGACATTCAAAGACAATACCATGTGGATCTCTCATCTCATGGACCCCATTTCTTTAAGAATAATTAATTTCTCAACAAAGTGGATATGAAGAAACTCTTGAATGAAGACTATAAAAATACACAACTTTGCTTCACAAATCACTCACTAACTCGAGCATCAAAAGATATATACCTGTTTTTCCCCCTTAAATATTGAGAGTTGTTCTTCAAAACATTTGAAATGGGTTTCCGTTTACCTGCAGCTATTAGACGTGCTTCATTAAGTAGCAGTCAAACATCATCAAAAGTGACAAACGTGCCAAAGGGATGTCTTGCGGTGTACGTTGGTGAGGAAATGAAGCGGTTTGTGATTCCGACATCATACTTGAACCAACCTTCATTTCAAAACTTGTTGAGTCAAGTAGAGGAAGAATTTGGATATGATCATCGAATGGGCGGCCTCACAATTCCTTGTACGGAAGATGTATTCTTGCATATAACTTCTGGCTTCAATGGTCTATAAATCTGCAACTGCAAGAGACTAACATAGATTAGTATTGAGATTTTGTAGAATATAGGCATGTTGTAAATATTGGGAAAATGGATGAAAATTGTGTATAGTAATGAAATACAAATACAATTAGGCAATCAATTATTTGATGTTTTGGCTAACACGGAGTTGAATTGAATTGAAAGCTATAATGTTATCTGTATTGGTGAACCATTTGATGTTTTCTATATCACAGATTTAATTGAAAGTTATAATGTTATCTATATTGGTGAAGCATTTGATTTTTCTATATCACAAAATTGAATTGAAAGCTATGATGTTAAAAATCATCATGAACACCACCTACCTGCATTGAAATTGAAAACAAAAAGAAAACCCTAAATTAAAAATCAGTGAGAAAAGGAACAAAACCTAATTGAAAGGAAAAGAAAACCCTAAATGAACAAAACCCTAAACGCAAAATCAAAGAGAAAAGGAAGCATATAAACGCTTTAATAAAATATTATGCAGGCGATGTGGGACTAAAAGCAAGTAACACAATATAATAATATGCAAATACTAACTTACATGAACCCGACCTTTTAAAGCTTGTGGTGATTATAAAGAATATATTACCATCTGTACTTATTATTTTGGTCAATTTCTCTTTAATTTTTGCTACAAGGATGGTGCAAAAGAGCTGTATAATCACTCTAGGGAAGACTTTTTTTTTACTTTTAACAAGCAACATAATTCATTTTTGCACTAAAGCATGATAATTCAAGTTATCAATTTTTTCTTCTACTACTTTGAAAAGAGACTAACTAGACAAATAAAATTGTAGATCACGTGTTTCACGGGCTGAATTGCATCATGACAAAACAGAGAATGTATTAATATTATAGACGCACAATTAATTAGATTCTGAAACAGA